TATTTCATTAAGCTAGTAAACTGTAGTCTTTTATTTGAAAAATTGGGTAGAGAAACTAATCCATGATACCGGTAATTTATTTTTTCGTAGTAAAAAGGTTAACAGCAAAAAAATATTCTTTTCATCTGTATCAAAGTAGCATAATATTTGATAGAGAAATTAAATGTTTTATTAAACAATATTATATAAGCAATAATTGAGTCGATAAGTATTCTGTATCCTTTGGTTTTCATCCATTAAAATGTTGTTTTTGTTTATTTCAATTCCAAGTGCAACGATTGTTCAAAATGTGTCGACTTATTGGAAGAGAGTACGCTCCAAACGCTTAGCTGAACAGCATGTAACTACCGATGTACCATTTATAACTAAAATAATAAATTTGACTTTAATATCTGGTGCTAACAGTTTACCAACTACTCAACATTCCCCAACTGAAAATGACGAGGGGAACCAGGAATATGTTGAAACCTCTCCACCGGGCGTTTTCCACAGTGCAACTCTTACTAATTCCAACACAACTACGCAGTCTCCAGAACCTGCATATGACGTCACAACATCAGACACCAAACCGTTGAGAACTGAAAGTTCAACACCATCAACTACGGTGCCAGTGTCTTTACAAACTCACCTGCCACCAACAAAGTCTACCGATTTAGATTATTCGGTCTCAAGTCACCTCGCCACTTCTGTCACAGATTCCAAACAAACCAACCAATCTAGTGATCATGTAACAGAAAAATATAACATTACGGAAGAACCTAGAGGAACACAAATCACAGTCTCAGCAAAAAGTGCAGTGACGAGTATAACTAAGGACTACACAACCTTTGACCAAACCACAACAAATCGGGACGTCACAACTACTCCTCTGGAGTCAACTACGTCAAACAATGACGCCACATATGGTGGCACTTTATCAACTCGGTCCACGCAAACTACAGACTACGAATTTCATGGAACTAGGTTAACTAGTGACGGAACAACGTTGTCATTTACGCCAATTCTTAATGAATCAAGCACAACAGAAAACCATACTTCGGATTCAGAAATACTCACTGATCTTCCAACGCATGCGCTAACGCAAGATTCAAAGACTGATCTTACAACAGAAACATCACGCACGACCAGTTACGATCTCACTGGAAATTATTCCAACCCAACTGAACCAATGACAACAACGCATGACGTCATAAATGAGAGTCAAGCTGAAGAACATATGACCATGGTAACAAATTATGTAGGTAAGTTGCACCTGTCCATAGATAAGGTACTTTAGGTATATTGATGATTTTTTTTTGTTTTGTTTTTTTTTCCGATTATCCTGGAGATGAAATATTATGATAATTTTCGTCGATATCACATGATTGAAATTAGAGCAATTTTCACCATGTACTCTGCATGTCACGATTGGTGTTTATGAAATTTACACTAAATGCGACTAATACATAATACCATGAACTTTAAATGTACATTATTTTGCAGACACAATATGTATATTAATAATATACGTTAATAATTTTTTCCCAGATAATTCTTTACATTATTCACATCCTCAACTTTTCTCACAATAGGGCATTAACCACGTTCAACACAAGATTTATGTTTATTTATTTATTTTTTATTTTGTTATATATTCGGCACGCATAAACACCGATCATTAAAAGACCAGAGAGGTGTCAAGATGACATCGTGGGCTAAGATCTCAACACAAGCTGTGGTGGGTGTCCTCTAAACCCCTTTCCAAAATAACTACAATGTAAATTTCAAGGGGTATTTCACTCTGTGTTTTGTTTGTAGTCTTCTGATCACTTTCTCAAAAATTCCCTCCTATCTGGATGTCGAACTTCTACCTTACTTATAAAGGGAGCTTTCGATTGCACGACGACGGTAGGACGTATAACGTAATGACGTCACTAAAAGTCATCTGCGCATGCGAGAACGTTAAGGTCACCTCGTCAAGTAGATTCTGGAACGCAATTTGGCCAAATCTACGTATGCAGAGAACGTCTGACGCCAGGTAGGACGGTCATGCATGAGTGATTCCGTTCTAGCGTCGCGTCGCCGCACAAATCGAAAGCTCCCTAATGACGCTTAAGGTCCCACAAAACCACAGGTTAAAACATACACAAACACGTGCGTTTGTGAGACAACACGTGTGCTTGTTAGACGTATTCCCGGCCTTGTTCCGATTGGTCAGTTTGATTGACACTCCGGATAGGTCCATTCACCGACACACCCTCTTTCTTGTAAGCCGTGAGTTTCAAAACTTCTTTTCTTCCAAATGCACGTAAGCTTTGCTTGTCTCTCAACCCTGTCCCCTCCGTCTTCTGAAAATGCCTCCATCCCTTACTCCTCCTCTGTGGACACATTGGTATTCTTGTATTTTTTTTTCTTATCATGTATTTTTATTAACAGATAATTGTAATTGTATATAAATTTAACCGTTTCTTGATAATAGCGGATAATTGTCTACAAAACACGCATTTTATATCTTTTCTTCACTAATTCAAACGCCATTTCTAGCAAATACTTCTTTTTTATTTGATTTGATTTATTAAGTTCCACAGACAACATTACATAACAACAGCACTCATTAAAAATACAAAGTTAAAATGAACTAATTGAACCTTGATAACCATATAGTTTTAAACGAAAGTAAAAGTTAATTCTATTAGGATCCATACCAAGAAGTAACAACATAAAAACAATGGCACTACAAAAGAAAATTCACAGTATATGAAACATATAAAATAACCTAAAAATATATAAAAGATGATCTCAAGCACAGAGATGCTTCTTAACTATGGTTGACTTGATTGCATTATAATATCGGTTGTTCGCTAATGATCTTATTCGTAAAGGACCCAATGTAGGCCTACTTTTAATATTGTATTATTTTCATTATTATCATCATTATTAATATCGTCATTTTCTTCATCATCCTTAAAATATAAATATAAATTTATGTTCTCCTCACTTATACATCTCAATAAAAAGAACCAAAATTACGTGATTTATAACAGTTTTGCAAATACAAGCAGATGTTTATGTAATTAAAGATGTATTGTGTTAATTGAGGTAACGTGGAAACTATAATCCAATATTTGAATTGTTTACTTTGTATATTAAAAAGTGTAACTTCCGATTGAAAATAAGAAAGACATTTTTCTCGCCAATTAACAGACAATAGAGCAAAATTGCATTGATTTTTAGGGTTTTCCCAGATAAAATGACATACTGTATCTAAAGTAAGTATGTACCGGCATATGCTGGTAAGGTATATAAGTTATATTTATATGCAAATATATACCTAAGGTATATATTGGGTTTGCATGTTCCTTTTTAAGCAGTTGTCATGTATCTGTCTCTTATACACATCTAGATGTGTATAAGAGACAGACCCTGTCCCCTGTCGAGCATCGCTTAAAAGGTTACGTTTCTAAAGTGGTCCAGGGAGGCGAAGACCGAAAACTTTGACAATTTATGGGTTTCAGAGCTTATTTAATCGATTTTAGGGTCCACTAGTATGTAGAAAATACATACATTTTTTTTTATCTCCTCGATGAATTGTGGTTTTTCTTCCCGATTATTTCCTCAAATTTTGTCACCTCAGCCCCTACCATATGGGGCTGAGGTGGATGTGGTACATGAAAGAAAGTGTTTTTTAGTTTTATTTTATATAGTACATCACTCATATTAATTAGATCTCTGTGGTTGCCGAAAATCTCTGATAAAAGATCATGAGAATTTATTGGTGCTTCATTTTGACTATATAATGATGATGTGATGATGATGAATTTTACTATATAAAAGTGTCCATCTACAGGTACTATTTCCACGAAATTTCCCCCCACCTTTCTAAACAGATCTGCGCCCTAGCAGGCATCCCCTACCGCCAAATATGTATCCGCCCCCCCCCCCACCTATCACATTAATTTATTTGACAAAAACATGTTACATGCCTAAATATGGTCATGATGAATCACATCATGACCATATATAGGCACATCATCAAACGAAATTTTGATAGCCGGGATCTTGCACGTAATGACACATATTTCCCATTCCGTTGTTTAATGTTTCCATGTTTCCTGACAAGGCCAATGTATGCTTTCTTGATAAAAGAAATTCATTGATTTAATTACGAATGCATTAGTAGAAGTAACTCACTGTTATTAACAATACAATTTACACCATGCTAACACCTTTAAACGGAAATAGAGACATAACGCAAGGTATGATGTAATACATACAATTACATATATTATTAATGATATATGTAATTATTAATAATATTGTATATATTATTAATGATATACCACAGAGTACAATAAAAAAAAGTCATCTGGTTCTTTAGCACATAAAAGATTGAAATGTTAAGTGTTATTCATGAATTTATAATTAAAAAAAATAGGCTCCCAGCGGGTGGGGTGTGTCACCCTATACTGCCTTACTGTACAGGTATTATGTTTACTAAAGTATCCACATGAGAATTCGGTTATCAGGAACTGTGTGGTGTTGCTTACTGTAGTGACTTTTTAGTGAACTTTCTAGGACAGGTCTTATCTATTTTTCTGTGTTCTTGTCGATTCAGTATGGCATCATATTTCGTAGACTTGCTTTCAATATTTATCTTTAGCTCATGGCTCATCCCATCATTCCTCCATACCGGATTTACACGATCTTACAGGTTAACTGCTAGACGATAACATAGTGCCTATGTCCCTGACGGGGCATAGACATCAAAACGAAGATTTCATAACGTGTACCATAAAACATTTAACAAAAAATTAAAGCACCATTTCCGTAAATTCCTTAGAGAATTAATAACTACAAAGTCAACTTTTGGTTGTAGACATTATTTAGAATGTCCATGTACAGTCTTTATGTAAGCTTTAGTTCTACAATATATGTTTGATATCCAATGCCATTTTTGTGAAAAATGCGCCCTCTTTTATTTTCAAAAATCACAGACGAGAAACTTTTTTTTTTTTTTTAATTTTAAAATTTTTTTTTTAGATGGAGGAGATCTACTCATCGTGGACAGGATTTCGTCATTGCAGAATCGTCAGTTTCACGTAAGAACACAATATTACCATTCCTATTTTATTTTAGTTAGACGACAGATAACAGACGCGACGAGGACGCGTCGCGTGACGGAGGATCATTTTGAACGTGGATCGGTTCCAACTGACGGTCAGCGGACGTTGCTTTCGGAAAGGACTTAAACACGGGAGGTCCAGTGTATACATCTGGCTCGTGTGGACAGAAGCAATTGCATCTTTCGGAAGAATAGGAGGTTACCCCGATGATGGTTCATCTCAGCCTCTGTCGTTGTAGAATGATGTAAACAAATCGCCTCTCTTCGGCTGCAACAGTAGTCACGGACCACGCCCATATGCCATTCAGCACAACGACGTTGATGCGAGTTATATGTTATTCTCCAGCCTCTACCATTTTACTAGGCTAATATTCACATATACTAGTCTTTGTTACAATATGAAATGATTTTCATTTATATATTTAGATAAGAAACGAAAAGAAGAGAAGCAGATAATGATAATAATAATTGTGTTGCTGATTATGGTATAACAAAAAAATATATTGATATAATTACACTGTTCCCTGATTGATAATGAGTTGTAATTATTAATATTATTCTCAAAAATGTAATTGTTTGTGGCCAGCAGATAGTGCCTCATTATGCCTTGGATATTCTACTTATTAAATCTTGTTGCCTCTTGGAACTAAATTATTCTTCCGTTGTTTACGAATAGACAAGGAAGCGTTATATCTGAAACTCAGTTAGTTTTTGATGGACCACTCAGCGAAGAGGAACAAGCCGCAACAGTTGGAGAAGTGTATAGGTTGGTTGAAGAAAATGGGAGTATAGGAAATTATAATGTGTCAGCTATACAGGCTGTTAATAGTGAAGGTAATAATAACGTGATAATAATAATAATAATAATAATAATAATAATAATAATAACGTGATAATAATGATAATAATAATAATAATAATAATAAATAATAAATAATAATAATAATAATAATAATAATAATAACGTGATAATAATGATAATAATAATAATAATAATAATAATAAATAATAATAATAAATAATAATAATAATAATAAATAATAATAATAATAATAATAATAATAATAATAATAATAATAATAATAATAATAATAATAATAATAATAATAATAATAATATGTCAATCTAATACAATGAAGCGCATCCATGCAATCAAAGCCTCTGCGCTTTACATTATTACCCCGGTCATTGATTCAGGCGCTTATAGAGCACATACTCAGCTCCCTGGTGGAGAATCGTATATAGGCCTACTATCTAATTATTCCAGTAAAGGACTTTCATAGATGGAGGGGTACCACCACAGCCCCACCATGGGTGGAGCAGAAGTAAGAAAACTTATGATTATGGCACCTCAAGATGATCAGAAATGGCCGGCACTCACAGACTTAAAAATTTGAATAGGCCTATAATTTTCTTTTTTCTTCTCTCCATGTATTTCTTTATAATTTTGAAAGAAAAAATTAGGAGAAGCCGGGCGGTCCGGGTGGGCCCCAGGAATTCGCCACTGTTGACAATTAACCGTATGAGTGCTTGCCCATGGACACAATCCGTATAGTGAAGGTTCGGAACTGTTTTTCGGAAGCCCGAATCACAACCGCGGAGTATTCCCATTAACGTATTTCTTATACTTTCTTAGTCTGAAACTAAATCTATAGTGAGTAAATAATTCGTTTCTATTTGGTTTTAAATACAAATTTAAAACCACTATACAGCACATTTAGTAAATTGACTATAAAAATGTAATTAATGTACTACAAATATCTCAAATATTAATTCTAAATTGTGTGTGTTTTTTTTAGGTACTTATGTTGCGGTAGATCCGTGTTTTCTGCTGCCCTGTCCAACCAACTTAATCTGCTATGCCCAGGAGTCAAAATGTATTTTAACGTGCAGAGATAACCTCGACTTTTGCCCAAACGGCGAGTGTAAAGTAAATGATAATGGTAAAAATCTTACATGCAACAAGTAAGTCAAAAGATAAACACAGCCTTAAGACCAGGGCACACGTACAGACATACATGTTTATAGAGGCTTACGGCACTGAGAATGAATTATTTTTCTTGCCAACTAACGAACGAATAATCGATCTACGAAGGTTAAGATTATTAGAGCATCAGAACATTTTCTGAGGTTTTGGTCATGAAATGGCTATAATGTATGAATAGAAAACCTATACTAATTGCTGTATAAGTCAATCACCCTCACGAGCCGAAAAAGGGTAAAGCCAACCGTGCACTATTGAAAAATTTGTGTTCGGTTTGGGATAGAAAAATAACGCTGGGAGCTACGATGATGTCACGATTTACTTACAGTATAAAGTCCCGTCTCTGATTTTAGGTCTGTTGTAATGTTATATTGTATGTATTGAGTACTGATTTGTTTGACGAAATAAACGAAATGAAAACAAATTAAATAAGAATAATACCGATCCAATATTCTGTGAATATACTCGTAAATTAAAAGCCTAGTGAAGTTTTGTAGTTAAGTTAAAAATTGTAATCTGACCCCGAAACCTTGACTCAAAAACAAAAAAAACAGGTTGGTGTCCGGTGTGGGATAGTTTTTTTTTACCATAATGTAGTTAAATAATGTACAGTAAATCAAACAATAACTGGCCCCGAAACCATATCGGGTTGGTGTCCGGCGTGGGATAGTTTTCCGCCAAAGTTTTTCTATTTGTATTTTACATTGTATTGTTTTGGTTGCCTTTTTGTTTGTTGTTTATTGTACAATATTATTGCAGTACAATATTATTGCAGGACTATATTGCAAAAAATCGTCTGTATATGTTATCCTGTCTAAATATGTTTGAAGTAAAATAATGAAAACTGAGCAATTATGTATATGAATTTAATAATTGAAAGACTTTTCAGAATTAGGCCACAAACAGTAGTTTGTGATGTAAATCTTTGAGTTTATCAAGTAGTTAAGTTGCTGACGTCATTAAGCCTATAGATTCATAAATAAATTTTCAATTTCCATGTCCAATTATCCATTTCTTTTCACCACGTTAAAATCGATATGGTTTCTCATAATTAGTAATGCTTACAAGCATATCTGTAATGTTGAACGTCAATGTATTGCTACGATACATAAAAAGAAGCCCTGCAATTAACCGTACTGTTATTTAGTGAATTATTTTCAGTATTAGTAGGGCTATAACCATATAGCAAATGTTTGAATTCATTAAAGAATTACCAAAAATGATCAAATAAACGCCGCGGTATTTATGGCTTCAATTTGCCAGCTGTGTTAAAATGGTATCATGGTTCCCTGCTCATGGACTTCCTCAGTAATTGCATTATAAGTCAATAAACCTCTTTAATTTTTTTGCACACATACCGAAATAAGTGCGTAGTACTAATTATTTTCAATATTTTTAAAATATTATAGGCCTATTATTATTATTATTATTATTATTATTATTATTAATTCTATAATCATTATTATTCACAGCGATGTAACAGTCGATCCTACAAGTAATACATGTGAGTATTTTATAATTAATTAAGAAACATCCGCATTAAGAACGTTATTATTATTATTCGACGTATATCAACCATCAATATAAATAAAATTAGTTTGTCAGCTAATGTATATTTATAACGCATATTTATAATGATATAT